GCGCTAGGGTGGTCCAAAAAAACTAAAGTCGGAATTTTAATGCTCCACCCCCTAGGATTTTTCTATATCGAAAAATATAACCCTTATTTTTTGATTTTGAAATTCAAAAATATTTAGAAGTCGCTCAAATCGGTCAAAGTTTTCCAGGTATTTTAATGGGGAAAAAACAACTTTTCATAGAAATGGCACAGAATTCTTCTAAAATATTTTAATAATAATATTTTACCATCGGAAAACTCTGTTTCTCTTCATGAGCCTTCCAATAATAATACTGAAGGGGTTTCTTAACCATTTTTTAATACTAAGGATTTTTATTGGTCCCCCCAGTTTCAACTTGGTCTAATTTGATTTGATTTGTGGCCACAGTGCGCGCCATTCAAAATCAAGAAAAAATTCTTGCACGTAAATTACTCATAAAAAATAAATAATATAAAAAGAACTTTTTAATATACAACGCTTTTATAAATGGACTAAAAAGTAGAAAATAATACTTCTCAGTCCCATAGAATTTGTTTTGATAACTTTTGATTTTGAAATTTTAGCAGAAGTCATTATAAACAATCTATGAAATTGAAAATGAAAAACGTGGAGCGCATGCAATACAAAGCATTCGATTTAATTGACAATAGTCAAACTACATAACGTAGACCTAAAATTTCTACAGCGAAAGTAGAACTTTGAAATCGATTTTAAGCGGTCGTTATTCATATACCCACATACATACATTCATATATTACTTTTCATATCAATTCAAGTGTATTACATGCGCCCCACGCTTTTCATTTTCAATTTCATAGATTGTTTATAATGACTTTTGCTAAAATTTCAAAATCAAAAGTTATCAAAACAAATTCTATGGGACTGAGAAGTATTATTTTCTACTTTTTAGTCCATTTATAAAAGCGTTGTATATTAAAAAGTTTTTTTTATATTATTTATTTTCTACTTTTTAGTCCTGTCTGAATAAAATTTTGCAATAGATATTAAAATAATTCAACGATATTAATAGAAAGGTGCACACACATGCATTTACATATGTATGTACATACAAACGAGCACCAATTAGTTTTATTTAAAGAAATGGCGTGACGTCTATTTCCGGTGTAGCAAACGTAGTACATAGGGCGACATCTAGATGTCATCTACCTCGCCCTATTCACTATGCTTTTTTATAGGAGCTTTTCAAAGCTTTGCTTTATGGTGTCGGACACACAACATTGAAAGTTTCTGGAACACAACATTGCAAGTTGATAAAAGCGTTGTAATAGACATTAATAGACATTAATAGACATTAATATGCTGTATTACCATTCTGGGGGACAAAGCGTTAATTTCACTTTAATGATTCGCAAGATGAACGGTACAAATTTAATAAACTTAAAGTTTACTTACGCTAATATCAGAAAATATAACGTAAAGGTCACGATAACTATTACATAAATCTCAGCCAGATGAGGTGAGATGTAATCAAGAAATGGGGATGACCATTTAAGCTATTATGTACAATTGTATTAAGTTTTTGGAATTTATAAAATTCATATGTAGGCATTAGGGTGGCCTAAAATTCAAAGGAAAAAAAGTTTTTTGCAATCATTAAAAATGCATGTTTTTTCAACGAATAAGAATATTTTCATTCGAAAGTCTTTAAAAAAAATTATATGTACATACATATTTCGAGGGTTCTACATAAGGTACACCCACTCCTATATCAAAATTCTTCTTGCGTTAATGAAAAACATTTTCCAAACGGATTAGTACAAGGTTTTCCAAGCTGCATTGTCTAAGCAAAGATAGCAAACGCTGTGGATAATATGGAGCAAAATAAAAAATATTCATACAAAAAAATTTTAATTTTTGGGCACTTTCGGAGCTCGTTTCCGACCACAAAAATGACTTTATTTTTAAATCGTTTGTAATTACATTAAATTAGGCAGGAAATACGCTATAAAATTCGCATGGTGCTGAAAACTTACTTAAGCTGGTATCAAACGATTTGCACACATCGGCAGTCACAGAGTGGTGTCGTATAGAAATTTTTATCGAAAATGAGTTCAACTAAATAGAACGAAATTCCAAACAACCCCACTCTCTAAATTTAAAAACGTTAAAATCTGTACAAATGTATAAATGTATAAATCGTGTGATCCGCGCTTAAGAAGTATTTCAGGCTCTGCTCTAAAATGTATGTATGTTCCAAAAATACGGGATTTATAAAAATAATACGGGGCAAATGAGAAATAAAGGATTTGCTTTAAAAGCCCAACTACGAACCATATACAGTGAAACCTCCCTTGGGCGGACACTCACCGTCAGTCACTTTTTGTCCGCCCAAGAGAGGTGTCCGCTTAATGGAGGGAAGCCTATTTTAGAACTTTTTAATGTTTTAATTAACTGAATAGTCACTATTTCTTATTTGAATAAAAGATATTGATATTACATCGTTCAAACAAAAATGTGCATGTATTTTTTCAAAAGTGCACATTTCATTTATGTGCGTAAGTACATATTAAGTAATAACAAAACAAAAATAAATATTACATTTTAGTCCATAAACTACATAAAATCATAGATTCATTACATAAAAAATTGGGAAATTGTCGATTGACGTAAGTTTTATTTTTAATTTTTTTCAGTGTCAGTACCTTTTTCATCAATAGTTTTCATGTTTTTATCAGTCTCCAAGGGTTTCTGACAATTCAAATAACGAACCTAAACCACTGCGCAAACCAAACTAAATGTGTGCATAACAATCACATTTTGTACGGGAAGTCTCCTTTTTCCATTTAGTAGTCCGCCTATGAGGAGTTCGCGTCCGCTCAACGGAGGTTTTTGTTTGATTTGTTATGAAAAGAAATCTTAATGTCCGTTGATAAGAGGTTCGCGTCCGCCCAATAGAGTTTTTGTGTAAATTTTATGCAAAATAACTGTCCGCGTCCGGCCAAGAGAGTGTCCGCTTAAGAGAGAGTAATTTGTTCCGAAATTTATACTTAAAACTTGGTATAGGAAAAAATGTCCGCCCAAGGGAGGTGTCCGTCTAATAGAGGTGTCCGTTAGGAGAGGTTTCACTGTATTAACAAATGTGATCCATTTCAATGAAACAATGGTTAGATTAGTATAAGCTTATGATAAATTTCGCTTACTTAATGACAACACTTTTTAATTTATACAAAAATATGAATGTACGTAGACATATAATTCACAAAACGAGTAAAACAAAGTAAGAGATACAGTTGTGGCCAAAATAAAAGCAGCAAAATTAAAAATTATGCAGTTGACAACTTATCTTTATTTATTTCTTGTTAATAATTTTCATTTAAAATATGGGTCGATGATCTATATACCACATAAATAAAGGTTCGAAAGTTACACAAAATTCACAAAAACTAATTAAACTTATAAAAATTGCAGTCTTTTATAATTAGATTTCCTAAAGATTTCGAGTAGGTGGTTTTATAGCCCAATCAATTTTAGTACAATAAAGTGCAAGTTTCAAGTCGCTAAAAGTGGTGCGTTTTGCGCATTTTTTTCATATGAAATTCAGTTTTGTGCATGCGTTATATGGAAGAAAATCGCAACAACCCCCAACAAATAACAAGATTCTAAAAAATCAATGGTAATTTTTAGCTAAATTTCTTATACTGAGTTGCATGCAATAATGCTTGCTAATGACCTACTCACAATGGCCGCGTTAAAGCAAGACCATGTCAACTAGAAGTTTACAAGTTGAAAGGACTAATGAAGCTGTCGAAAATTCGGAAAAAATCTTGTTCCGGCGGAACATTTCAAATTTGATGCAAAACATGGGACGTTCCGGCAAGTACCGGATATTTGGAAACGCTAGTATTTATAGTATATAGTCAATTTTTAAAATATCGTTTCGGTTTAACGCTCCCATCTTCAGCATTACTTAAGCTAATACGGTAGACAAACGGGCTTGATTCTGTAGCTTGTTAAAAATAATTTTAGAATACACATTTGCAATAACTTCCAAACAAAATTTTATTATCTTACAAAAAAAAAGTTGCGGAACAAACACTGTTAGAGACTAGATATTCTGCCCAAATCCACAATAAAATCTAAAATTTTTAACTTTGGTCCTAAAATTGTCACGCCCATTTCTAGGGGATTTTCCGATAAAAAAAAAAAACATTTTTACTGTATATGTAGGTATTTAACCGGAATCCGAAATAAAATTTCCACAATTTTGACAACTTGTTAATTAAATTTGGTAGGTATAAAAATACTCGATTTAATGAATTTTTCGATTTTACGAATTCGGCGGACAATATAAGGTTCGTTAAAAAACATATATTGGACAACCACCTGTATATGTAGGTATGTCCATTATATTTATAGAAACAAATTTATAGCATTTTTTATGTAGCGTGCCACCATTTAGAATTACAAACTGCAGAGCTCTTCACCTTCGAATAGATTTAAGCTAATGTAAACAAATAGTCAGAGGAGTGAGCAAAATGCCAGACAGTCCAACAGTTAAATAAATAGAAGTCATGTGACTTGTATGCGTTCCATGTGCCATTCACTCAATTGAAATAAACTAATAATATTGCACTCAAGCAAGTTAACGCTATTCTATTGAAATTTGCGGCTTCATGCAATGGTGTTGACACACATGCATACGCTACCACATTTTATTGTTGATGCAACGTGCGGTTGGAAAACGCAGCTTCATCCGCATGTGATGCATTTTGATGATGAACGTCAACGCTAAACGATAGCCAATGTCCGATTCTATTCATCTTTTGCTTGACTGGGCTTGTTCTGTCTTGTCGTGTATGTTGTGACACACGGCCGCTATTTGCAGTCCATTGGTAGAAGCGTCCAGTACGTTTGCGGCAGTTATATTTGTCCATACATACATATGTAATTGAATAATGTTACTATTTTTACTGCGTAAACTAAGTATAAGAAATATTCATACTTGCATACATGCATACATATCTACATAATAATTATTACTTTTTATTTTATGTTTGCAGTCCACCGGGAATGAGGATCCAAACGAGGTTTACTTGGATTCGGAAATGGAAAAAGTTTTCGCCGGTCCAAGTGCGCACAAGGAAAAGTTCGATGTAACGACATTTCAGGACGCGAATCAGCCGATTGGTTCGTACAAGCAGAGTAATGGTAATTGAGATTGTCTGAGATTAATGTTTATTTTCGTATACAATTTAATTACATACTTTTGTCGTGATTTTGACTCAAATTAAACGTAAAACCGCAGTTTGTGGATGAAATACAAGTTCCAAAGACAAAACCAAAATACATAATAAATACGTCCTCAAAAAGTCAGAAACTATTGTCAAATGTCAAAAACAAATAAAGAGCAAAAACTAATTCAAATATGTACTTATGTTAAAAATTGTAAAAGACAACACATGGCAAATAGATTTTGTTCGAAAGCAAGTTAAGCATAAAAATAATTAAATGCAAATTTGCTACAATATTTCTTATGAATGTAATTCTTTGATGGCAGTAAAAATCACCTGGACTTGCCCATTATCATTACAGTGCATCGTAAAAGTGAACTGAATATTGAAGAGGATTCTGAATATGAAAGCACAACTGACCCCGTCAATCCGCAAAATTATGATGACATACCCGAAGATTATCCATTAGTATCCGAGCGCGCGGGACACTGCGATCATTCGGTAAGTGCACAGAATTTCAGTAAGGTACTTTTAGGAGGATATAGTCGCATATAATTTCCTTTTGTTTTTAACTGGCAATGAAGTATCTCTGCGAACCATCTTCCCCAGTGAACTCAAAAATAGTGTTTAGTGCATCAGGTAGCATTTAGGTTGAAAATAAAAACGGTTTCTTGGCCGGTAATTTGGAAATGCTTCTTTTCGTAATACAAAATATATAAATTTTTAACTCTTAATTACTAATTAGATACTAATAAATTTGATTATAGAAATTTAAAAAAAAATTGCAATTAGATTAGAATTTGGTTAGACAGACTTAGAGCCATTTCAACAATATTATAGTGGATTCTCTGCCCATGTACACTTTCGCATTCGCAAAACATTCGTATAATGCGCATAACGAATGCGAATGCAAATATTCGCAACATCCCTGATCTGTATACATACATACAGATATAATAAAACTATTGCCGATTTCACTTAAAAACTACTCAATTGATTTTAATGAAATTTTAAAATTAAATTTAAAATTGATTGTTGTTTCAGGTAAGTCCGATTTGCATGAAATTTGCTCCCTAGATAAATTATTGCCTACACTAAAATACATGACCAATTCCATCTCAAATCATGCAAGCCAACTGCACCTACACTTAGAGAAGGAATCAAGTTTTGTCGTACTCGATCCTAGCATTTCCGAACTTAAAATCTGACTAAGATTGAAAATACTAAAATAGAGAACACAATTCTAATATTAAGTATAATATTTTTGAGTACCAAATACCGGAATTAAGATCACTTAAAAAATGAAGCATATATCATTAATTTTTGCATGCGTCTCTTTGTGGAAATATTGTTCATATACATACATCAAACATTCTATGTTGAAATATGAACGGTTGTGATAACTAACCCAACCTTTTCCTTTATAATATTCCTTGAAATTAAATACTCGTAGTCATAATAAAGAAGCATCACATTTGATTTGAGTACGAAAATCTTATTTCAAGAATGAAATATTTAGATTCCATATACTTAAATCGAGTTAGTTTGTTCTTATTTTTAGGCCGACATTTTTTCCTCAGGGTATCTCTCCGAAGCACTTGAAATTTTAGTATATTATTCTACTCGGACATCAAAATTATGTGCTTCATGCACTTTTGAAAAATGCGATTTTAATTGGTGTTTGAAAATAATTGTGTATATATTCGCTTTTAAACTTTTTTCACAAAAAAATAAAGATGTCATTGCACTTTTCATAAAAAAATTAAACAATTTTTTTTCAAAAAGGGCTTTTTTTGGCTACATTTTCTTTAAGGATAGCGTACCTCAATACCTATATTTTGATATATTTGCCATTTAAGTTATTTTGGTTTTATTGATATTTAAAAGAAATTAAAAAAATATATTTTTAGCCCAGTCAAGTTAGCTAATTAAATTACTTTATTGTAAATTAAATGTAAAAAAGCTTTATTGAATCTCTTAAACCACAAAAATAAACTAAATGTCAAATAAATCAAAATATAAGTATTGAGGCAAGCTATTAAAAAAAAAA